GGAGAATCTCCAAGGGAAGCAAAGAGGCGGCGGGGGATTGGAGGTGGGGGAGGGTATAAGGGTGGGGCGGCAGGGAGAGGAGCCCCCAAGACCAGGAGGCCCTGATGTCTACACTGCACTTGGAAAGGCCCCCAAGTTGGAGGGGTCCCTGGGAGGAGGATGGAAGTGGGGACTTAAGGGAACCCGTGAGCCGGGTAGGCTGGGAGGCCCTGAAGGTCCACTTTGGGATTGTGACTGTCCGAAGCTCCTGGGGGGCAGTGAAAAGAAGGGGCTGTTTCTAAGGCGGGGGTGAGGCAACGAGGCTCCCTGGTGGGCCACGGAGACGCCTGCGCGGGATTCCCTCCCTCACACCGGGGTCCTGCCTCCCCTCTAAGCTTCGCTCGGCATCTCCAGGCCTGGGCTAGGTCTTCCCGGACGCAGCAGGTGCCACTCTGCCGAAGCAATAGAAATCGACTCCATTGAATTGCCTAGCAAAAAAGTCCGAAGAAAGCCCTGAGCGAGGACAACCAATCAGAGAGCGCGTCGAGTTCGCGCTCAGAAACGTAGCCAATCAGAGAGCGAGGGGGCCGGCTCGCGGATTTGCGGGATGCAGGGAGGGGACTCGGCATCAACGCCAGCCCAGTAGCCAATCAGAGGCGAGAATGATTGTCTCGCGCGGCGCGCTAACACGGAGCGGGCGGACCCCAAACGTGACGCTGCTCCAGGTCGCCCACGAATCGGAAGTTTCGCTGCCCCACGACGCAGGAGTTGATTGATCACTGGCAAAACTTGCTTCTCAATTTTGGAAAACGGATACAGGACGTTCCCTTAGAGACACTAGAGCCCGCCTCCGCTCTCGAGCGTGGGGAGGGGCCTTAAAGGGCCAGGTCCTTGGTAAATCGACGTCGGACCCTCTGCACAGAAATAAAGAGAAACAGTAGAACAAAATCGGAAGCAATTCCGTTATGCTGGAATTGATCAGGAAGCGCTTTCCCGCGAAGAAAGGGGGACCCCAGAAGTTTAAGCAGCTTGCTTTAGGTCATACTTGTCAGCAGCGGAGCGGGGATTCGAATCCTCATTTCCGAGCCCTGTCTCGACAAAATAGTCATGCCTCTTTGGGGTACGACATAACCAAAGGAGGAGACCCAAATCCTAATCTCATTCTTTTCGTTCCAGCCACCTGGCCTTTGCTCACGCCATTTCTTCATCCCGCTCACTCTAGAGCTAGCCCAAAGCCCACCTCCCCTAAACCGAACAAAACACACAAAAAAACAAAAACCGAAACAAAAAGCCAACCCTCCCCTTGCCTGCAGGCAGCAATGTTTTCCTGCCCCACCTCTTTCCCCCTTTGCCCTCAGGCAGCATTTTCCCCCGCTTGGGGCTCTCACTGTTCTGTTCCAGGGCCCTGGCTCTGATCGCCCTAGAATGCTACTCCCATCCATCTGTGTCTGTCCCCCACCCCTCACGACAGGTGATATCTCCGTCATCAGCAACATCCAGCACAGGGCCTGGATTCCAAAGAACGGCAAAAAGTGAAAGCCCCTTAAGGTGGAATGTTACGAACCTCTGGTAATTAATAAATAAATAAATAAATAAATAAATAAATAAATAAATAAATAACGTGTTCACTCGTCTGGCTGAGAACTTTGCATCATCCTTGGATCCTCATTAATTAACCACCCCCAGCAGCCCTGTTTGCTGCAGGTTCTAACAAAATGCATTCTAAATCCATTCACATCTTCCCATTCCCACTGCCCCCGCCCTCCTCCCTAGGAGTCACTGGCACCCCTTGCCTGGAGGATGAGCACAGTTTCCCTGGCCTTCCCGCATCTTCTCTTGCTGTTCGCCACAGTCTATTCTCCAAACTGCTGACTCTGTGCTTTTCTTAAAACATAAATCAAATTATGTCACACTTCTGCTTACAAATGTTCAGTCATCTCAATGTTCTAAAAAAAAGCCGAAGTCTTCACCGCAGCCTACCAGGCCCTGCATAATCTGGCTCCTGCTCATGTCTCCCACGAGCACAGATATGAGCCAGGCTCTGAAGTTCAGATCTCGCTTGTGCCACTTACTAGCCCTGCGACCTAGAGTAACTTACTTAGACCCTCTGAGGCAGCGTCTGATCATCTGTGAAATGAGGTTTAAATGAATTAGAATTACTAATTAAAATAGACCTCCACTGTATAAAATAACTAACTAGTATTCCTCAAAATGGGCAAGGTTGTGAAAAGCCAGAAAAGACTGAGAAGCTGCTGCACCACAGACGAGTCTGCTAAGTGGTATCTTGCATCAGTTCTAGAACAGAAAGTAGAGGACACTGGTGTGGAAGCTGGTAAAATCCAAGTAAGTCTGGAGTATGGTTAATACTCATGTTAGTTCAAAGGCACCTGGAGCCTGCTTTGGATTCTGTGTCTCCTCTCTCTGACCCTCCCCTGCTCACGCTGTCTCTCTCTCTACTAGAAATAAATAAAACATAAAAAAAAATTTAAAAAAAAAATTTTTTTTAAATAGTCATGTTAGTTTCTCAGTTGCTACAAATGTTCCACAACAATGTAAGAAGATAAACGTTAAGCGAAGCTGGGCAAGGAGTGTATGGGAACTCTCTGTGTTATCTTTATAATTTTTCTGTAAATATAAAAGTATTCCAGGGGTGCCTCGGTGGCTCAGTAGGTTAAGCACCTGACTTTGGCTCAGGTCATGATCTCACAGTTCGTAAGTTGGAGCCCCAGGTGCTGACAGCTTGGAGCCTGGAGCCTGCTTCTGATTCTGTCTCCCTCTCCCTCTACCCCTGTCCCAATCACACTCTGTGTTTCTCTCTCAAAAATAAACATTAACAATTTTTTAAAATAAAAGTATTCCAAATGAAAAAATTTATTTAAAAGTAAAGAGACCTATCCCTCACCCCCTCCTAGCTCCTTCCTTCCCAGTGCCTCAAACGCTATGCTTGCTCCACACTCAGACCTTTGCATTTCCTGGTCCCTCCAATGGGAATACTCAACACCAAGGTCTTCTGGCTCCTTCCACAGTAGACTTCCCTGACCATCTTATTTAAATAACGCCCTACCCCTGTCTTCACATTTTCACAGTACTTATTCTTTTTTAAAACAAATTTTTTCTAGGTGTTCCTGTGCGGCTCATTCCGTTAAGCATCTGACTTGGACTCAGGTTATAATCTCCAGGTTGGTGAATTGGAGCCCGGCATTGGGCTCTCTGCTGTCTACGCAGAGCCTGCTTCGGATTCTCTTTCTCCCTCTCTCTCTGCCCCCCTCCCTTACTCTCTTTAAAAAAAAAAAAAAAGTTTATTTATTTTTGAGAAAGAGTGAGAAAGGGGTAGAGACAGGAGAGAGAGAATCCTGAGCAGGCTCTGAACTATCAGCATGGAGCCCAACAAGGGGCTCGAACCCACTAACCATGAGATCATGTCCAGAGCTGAAACCAAGAGCTGGAAGCTTAACTGACTGAGCCACCCAGAGCGCCGCCCCCCCCCCCCAACCTATTCTCTGGGAAATGTACTATTTGTGTCTTGCCCCTCTTGCTCTCTTATAGCTAGCAGGCTTCCTAAGAATATGGACTGTGTCGAGGCGCCTGGGTGGCTTGAGCGTCCGACTTTCGCTTAGGTCATGATCTCGCGGTTCGTGGGTTCGAGCCCCGCATTGGGCTCTGTGCTGACTGCCAGCTCAGA